AGAGATGAGGTCTCGCCTGCCCAGGCGGGTCTCGAACCCGCGGGCTCAGGCAATCCACTCACCTCAGCCTCCCAAAAGCATGGGATTACAGGCTGAGCCACCGAGCCCGGCTAAGTCTATAATTTAAAATAGAACAGTGATATATTGAAAATGTTAAGCTTTATATTTTTGCCTTTGAAATAAATCCTCCATTCAGATGGTGCTCTTACAATATAAAGCCAATAAATTTAGATACTCATTATTAAAAAAATCAAATCAGTTGTTGGAAATCACATAGAAAAAAATTAATAGACAACCATAGTACTAATGTTCAATGAATATCACAGTACCAACCACAAGATATACAAGATATTCGCAGTTTGAAAATGTAATCATCAATGTATTTAAATCATTTAGGTATTTTGTATTTTATAGGATAAACATCAGTGCTATTGATTTTTTTTCAGTTTCAAATAAAAAGTGTGGGTTTTATGAAGAAATTTTAGGCATGTCCAAAAATGATTTATCATACATAATTTTTAAAAGATTCAAGACAAATTACATTTTTGGTGTTAGTACAGCTGAGGATGTTAAAATTTAATAAACTTTTTAATTTATCTGCACCTGAAATATACCTTTTACAGTGACTTTATGATCGCCTGTTCCTGGGTTGACAGTGATGTCCACATGAACAGATATCTGGCCCACTGCATCTTTGGAAGAACGACCTGCAAATAAGCAGAAGTTTACTGGCCTGAACTTTCAGACTGCTGAATAATAGATACGTGAATTCTTTGCATAAGAGACTTAAAGTGTGTTATTGGAAATGAATAGATCTTTCCATAAATAGCTCATAATAGTTTGCTTTGCAGGTTTGAGGCTCGGGTATAATCAACATTAAGCATAATGACCTAAAACTTCATATGGCCTGCAGAAATCATAAGACACTTGTTATGGTTACAAGAACTTGTAGTTGTTTTACTAGCCAATTAATAACGTTCTTTTTTTTATTATAAAGATGTGGGGTACAATTCAGGGTTAAGAATACAAACATTGATCATGCAGGTACCCTTGTTAATGAAGTGTGCCCCTCCCTCCCCTAGCTTAACTATCAATCCTACCCACCTCTCCTGACAATTTCTCAATACTGTCAGTTCCTTTCTTTTAGTATTATGATAATTGTTCAAGGTCCACTTATGAGTGAGAACATATGGTACTCTGTTCTTTGTTTCTGTGATAGAACACTGAG